CTGCGCTTTGTCCCCGCGGGTCCCCCCGGCTGCCCTCGGGCACGGCCGCCGCTGCTCGCCCGCACCCCGGGCGCGGCGCAGAGCTCGGTGTGCCTGCGGAGAATTATCCAGAAGAGGAGCACACGGAGTTGAGCCACCTCTGCGCTGGTTAGAGGAATGCTAAGGAGGCATCTGTAACGTGTTTGCATGCGGAAGCGTTTTGTCTGTGTTTTGATGGGCTTCCAACTTGCTTGTCCAGGCGTTTGTATAGAAATACTTGAGATGAATGCTTGCCGTTTCATCTTCAAAGCAGTAGGTTTTAGCATGGGCCCAATCTCGTTGAGCGGGTAGATGTAGCCGTTCCTTGCCAGGTCGTGTGATGTTATTTCCTCTGGACATACCCATTGCTTTGTATGTGACTGCCAAGGTATGTAAAGTGACTCACTTGCTCCCCTGTCTTTTAAAGAAATTGAATGTTGGCTTTCCTCAGATAATGTACAGGAGTTTCAGACATCTGCTAGTGGCCTGGAATGAATTATGGTATGGCACAGCCTCTCTTTGGAGGCATTGGGAAGGCCAGCTGTGAGATGGACGTGAAATTAGTGTGCTGCAAATTGAAAATGTCTTTGCCCAGACAGATGACTTGTCAGCCCAGGTCTTGGGCATCCGGTCATGGCCGTGGTTTGTGGAGCAGTCAGCTGTAACATCCTGGTGATGCAGAGGGCTGCTCCCTCTGTGCTGCTGGGGTTAAACACGGGCCAGAGCTTGGGCTAGGTGTGTGGAGGGTTGGGGTCACCACCCTGCCTCTGTCCCAGCAAACCCTTGATCTAAACCCATGTTTATTGTGGAGTTGGTCAGTGAAAGCCCCTTCCGCCCTGGGCAGCCGTAGCAGCCCGGTCACAGCTGAGCCGAGACCCCTCTCCTGTCCTCTGCTGGCATGGAGGGTGCAGGATTTAAACACAGACTCACAGGGGATGTGTCCACCCTGCTCTCCATGCGGGGAGGGCCGGCAGAGGGCCGGCTTGTTGGGCACTGCTTAACTCTCGCTCTCTGTAGTACAGGTCAGAAAAATCATTAAGACTGATGATACAGATATGTGTTTTTTAACGTCTGGAGAACTTCTGGGAACGTATCCGGACAGTGTGGTGTTTCTGCAGCCCTTTGGCAGGGGCATAAAGAAATGTAATCTTAAGAGCTGTCACAATTTGAAATTTCAGAAGCACTTGACCGTTTGTGAATGTTGAATGGCTGAATGATGCAGTGCTCCTGAAGAGGGTGGTCGATGGTCAGGAACTTTGGTGAGATGTTTCTTGTTTTCTGTGGTGGCTGATAAGGAACTATTTCTCTCCCACTTTTCTGTTGCTTTTCTTTTATATGTATCCTGACGATTTGTTATCAGCTGAGCCAGGAGAAGAAATACAAAGTCTTCATCTACACTTTACATTCCTGCTTTGCATTTATCTCGTGGAGGATGATTATACTGTCTGCTGGATAATTCTCTCATTGCATAAGAGAATTACACACTTGCACAAGTGAGAAGTAATTGATGGAAGTGTTGCTTTAATTTGCTGTTTAATCAGAGCCAAATGCAGTCTGGGGAAATTGATGCCACAACACCGAGGTCATGAGAAGGGATCTGATGTTGTTCTGGCTTAAAGATGATGTGAAAAACTGTGGTGTGGAAACCTGAATTCAGGTTCTGCTTTGCTTTGCGATTTGATGTTTGACTTCTCGTGCAAGAGCTGTCTCAGGTATAGGAGTTAACCTACCAGGTCTCATCATTATGGAGTGGCAGAGGGGCAGGGAGCGGCTGCTGTGAGCATCAGCAGTGGTGGTGGAGCTCTGAGCGTTGCTTGATTTGGAGTTTTTGAGGGATGGTGCTGTTGTGTTTGTCGTAGCCTTTTGGAAATCCTCTGAAGGGAGTGTCCGAAGCCTCAGTGTTTGAAGTGATTCTTCTCTAGGGAGAGGTGGGAAATTTTGACAGAAGTACTAAATGTCAGCTGACAGTGTCCTAAACTGAAGCGCTCTTTTCAGTTAGGTGCAGAAGTAGTATTGTACTGCAGTTTGGGGAGTTTCTTGTGAAGGCTTTGTTTGGACACCGAGCTATTATATTTGTTACTTGCTGTGCTCTGCCTGAATATTCCCAAGTGGAGGCTTTTCCTTTGCTATGGTGTCCTTTTTCGTTGTTCCTTTAGTCCGGGCCACCAGAAATAGTGCTGAATATGGAATGTTGACATTCGCCATGAGCGAATGTTGACATTCGCCATGTCTCAGGAAGGATACTTTACTTTATCTCCACAAAACAGTAATGGGCTCTCGGGGCTCCAAGGATGTCAGGAGGTGACAGCAGTGTACCTACTTGTCATGTAAAGCAGATCAAGACAGACACACACATTCAGCAAGGTTTTCCTGTGATTGTTTTTTCATCCCAAGAACCCTGGAGTGATTCAAACACCTGGAGTCTAAATTTCCCATTTTATATAAACTAACATTTAATGTACAGTGCTTTCAGGCTTGGAGTAATTTATTATAACATCTTTATATTTTCCATATAGTTCTCCGTAAGAATTAGAGTAGGCAGCGGTGGTTTCTGTGGCGTGGAGAAGTCCTAACAAAAGGTGTGTGAGTTCTCCAAAGACAGGGGAAAAAATAAAAAAACCTCCCCAAGTTGGCTACTCCTTACTTTCACTCTGCAGTAGCCCTGCCTGGTCATGCAGCAAGAGACCGTGTTGCTCTTTTTGTTCTTTGAATCTTGTTTGTGGCAAACAGTATTTGCTTCCTCCTGAGCAACAATAGCCCATTCTGTCTGGGGGGGGGGTCACTCTGTGTATATGGGGGAAAAAAAAAAAGGCATCTGGTATCTTGGTGTGGTGCCAGTGTTCACACTGGCTTCCCAGAGATCCCATCTTTGTCTTCGTTCCAAGAAGATTCTAAGTTTAAGATAGAGATTATGGAAGGAGTCTTTGCCATTCAGCACTTACTGATGCTTTTGGAAAAAGCCTTCACATAGACAATAGTTAAACCTTGCTTACCTTGTTGGTACCTCTTTATATGTTTAAATTTGACCTGAAAGATTGTTTTCGAAGATAAATAATGGAAGATAGCTCTTGGATACTTTTTCAGCAAAAAAGCTTTATATGCTTAACGTATTCTCCTTCAGTTTTGAACAAGGTAATCCAAACCTACATTTAATGTACAGGCAGGATGACTAATCACTGTGTTCATATGTTGTTTCTGGTGATGCTGTTTATATATAGCCTTGTTCTGGATACAGAGACACCACTTGGTGCGTGAAGGCTTGTGACTTGCACTGTTTCTTGGTGGATCAGATGAAAAATGTTTCTTTTCTCTCCGCAGGTTTGGTAATTGCTGACAACTTTTTGATGTGTGTTAAAACCAGTTTGACCTAAAAACATTATTTCTTTTCTGTTTTTTTTAACTGCATCTGATCTCTTGATGCTTTGGCCAAGCTTTGGATTTTTAGCCAGAGCAGCACAACATACCTCATGGCTGCGTACTTAACGTGAAGTCTCAGCTGCTCTGACTGGAAATCGGATTTTGCAGTATTTGTTTCCTGGCCTGTAGCAAATGTGAAGTGTGGTTTAACTGCATTATAAAACCACAGGTGACTAGAAAAGCTACAGGAAATGACTTGCAGGC